GAACCAATGATTGATACTAATAATCCTCTTCTTACAATGGATAATGTTATTTGCACACCTCATATTGGTTATGTATCAATTGATGAATATGAAATTCAATTTTCGGATATTTTTCAACAGATTTTAGCCTATGTTGATGGTACGCCTATTCATGTTATTAATCCACAAGTTCTCAATCATTAATTTATTTCTTTTTCTTGTCTATAAAAACGTATAAATTTGAGTATAATTATCATTTAATTAATAAAATATTCGAAATAAAATGACAAATATATTATTTTCTATCAATTCTTATCAAATTCAATGAACAAAAATCATCAAGTTAAAAACCGTTAATAAAAAAATATAAAATAAAATATATTTTTAGAACTTCGAAAAAACGAGTACAGATTCATATTTATGAAATATTCAAAGAATGGATTGAAAGAATAAAATTTCTTATGGAATATCACAACAAACACATCAGATAGAATGTTGTTTCCATAAATAGATATAATGCGATTTTCGATCACCCTTTGTAAATACTACTTATAAATGAACTTGATATTGATTTATTGCCAAATTCATCAGGGATGTTGCGAACTGATTATAAAACAATTTCTATCTCTACGACTTCTACTTATGGTAAAATATTAATTGTTTAACCGTTTACGGCCGGCTACCAGAAGACAACAAGCAAAAAGTTATCTTTCTATATATTCTTTGTTGTTTAGTTATAGGGATCAATTTTTCACTGCCGACTTTTTAAAAAATGCCGTACGTTCCTATGGTAAAATTGTTCCCGTTTGGCAACATCCGGCCGGAAAGGGTTAATCGATGTATTTTGCAAATTTAGATTGATTGAAAAATTTTCTTTAAACACTATTTTTATCTTTTATTTACACAAACAAATTAATTACAGTCTTCACAGAATGCATAATAATAACAAGAAATAATATTAATTGTAGGATGAGCGTTCACCTAGATGAATTTTTTTGATAATTGTCATGCAATTTAATGAATTATTCTGACTATTAAAAAATTATATATACATATTTATAGTAAAAATGAATGCATATCTCCTATAATAATTTTTTTACTGACAGTTGATTTGAATAGACTCATCGTATCGCAAATAAATAATTTAACGTTAGATTTGGTAAGATTACATGACATTATATTTCAATTTAAAGAAGTTGTATATAGAATAATGCCTAGAAAATCATTATAGACTTTTTATTAGAAGATTTGCCTTTCATTATTTTACACTAACACAATCAAAACAAAGCATTTTTTTCTCTTCTTTAGTATTTCTTTATAATAGTCAACATATACTATCCACGAAGAGAGGAAAGAAAAAAGAATTAATTAGTGATAGGATGTGACTATTCTGTGGAAGTATTCTTTCCTTTTCAAATTATTCAATTACTTATTATATGATAAGAATAATCAAGGACAAATATATATGTATATAAATCTTTTCTTTTCACCCACATTGACCCACTTATCTGCATATCCTCTTGTGTTTATAATAAGAAAACAGAGATCAACATTTTTATAATTATTTAACATTATCATTCAACGAATTTTTCTGCTTCTGTTGAAGTCTGTGCGTGAGTATCTGTTTGACATATTAATTAAATTAAGAAAAAAATTTTTTTTGTTTTAATATTACCAGGATGATAAATTTTTTTTTCGAAATACGTCACTTACCTAATAGTTCTTTAAACCTCTAATCTAAGTCAGCAATACTCATTAAAAAGCTTATTTTTGACGGCTGACAGTCTAAGTGCGAGTAATTAAGCATGAGAATGCAAAGTATTTATCTTATTCAGGACAAAAATAATGAATCAATTAAAAAAACAACAGATGCATTAGTTTCTTTTATAATTTGTTTTGCATCTATTCATTTTTCTGTAGTTTAGAAAACAATTTTTTATTCGACAGATAAATCTTGATATTTGTCAAAAATAAGAAATCTATTTAAAAACACATTTAGAAAATGTCTTTTTTTTTAAACAAGTAACGCTCAGCTCTTTCTCGTAGAAATCGCATTACTAAACAACTATCAAGCTATTGATTTATATAATTAAACAAAACAGAAGTCAGATTTGAATTTTTCGGTGAATCCTTATAAAAAAAATTCCTTTTATATCTTTACCTAATTTTTAGATCAATCAGTGAAGTGCGGACAAACAATTTATTCTTGCAAGACTCTTCGCTAGGAGAAAAAGAATAATTAAGTTATTTCAACACTTCTCGATCCTATGAGACATTCTTTGAGTTAAATAATATTATAGAAATAAAAAATTTATTCTTAATAAACTTTTTTTTAATGATAGACATTTTTATGCTAATTACTTCGTATGTTTAAATATTCAGATTTATTCTTTCATGTATGATCTACATTCATCAATTTTTGAGAAGTTAACTAATCTAAAACTCATATTGAATATTTTCAGATCTCCTATTATTGTTGATAACTAATCAATCGAATTTATTAAATATGTCAAAAAATTTGTGGTGGTCAATTCCTCTTGAATTACTTTTACTTACATTTAGTTTTATTGGTTTAATTAGCAGTTTAATATTTATATTAATTGTAATAACTCGATATGAATTTCGTCAAAATCTTACTTTACTTCTTGCTATGAATTTAAGTTTTGGAGGATTAATAACATGTGTTTCAATGATATCTCAAGGTATTCATATGATGATGAATTCGCCAGAAGATCGATTATGTCCATATCGTAGTTATTTCTTTACAGTCGGTGGTTTATATATATTCGAAGCAGCTGCATTACAAACTTTACATCGATTAATTGTTATTATTTTTGTTCATCGTCGTCAATGGCAAAATCGTTGTTTATTTTTCTTTTTAGCTCTAATACAATTAATACTTTGTTTATTAGGTCTATTACCATTATTATTAACGAATCGATTTCCATATTATCCTAATGCAAATGCATGTTATATCGCTTTAAATGATATTTTTGGAGTTTTATATCCAGCAGTTAGTTTTTATTTTACTCCATTAATATTTCAATCTATTTGTTCTTATTGGATTTTACGATATGTTTCTCGAAAATATCAAGCGAGACGAAAACATGATAAGATTAAAAAACGTATTTATAAAGAAAAACGAGTTTTAGCTCGTTTATCGTTACCAGTATTTCTATTACTTAGTGTTGGACTTATTTTTTTTGTATTCTTTTTTGCTACAATATTATCAAATGATCAATGGAAAGCTCCATCTTATGCCCTTCATCTTAGTTTTATGGGTAGTTCAGCTGCAACTGGATCGTCAATGTTGGCTAATCTTATATTAACTAAACCAGTAAAGAAAATTCTTTTATCTTTTTTACCAAAACATCCGAGATAAACTCATATTTTATTTCGTTATTTAATCATATTATAATAATTATGTCAAATATTTAAACTTAAAAGATATTTACATATATTTATTATTGTTTTTCGAAAAAAATGATATAAAACGGGTGATACAAAAGTTTTTGTTAAAATAAAAAATATCTATTTTGAATAATGAACATGTCTTTAAAATAATGAAGAAATTGATATTTGAGTATTTTTTAAGAGCAGTTAATTATTTTATACCTTACTTAATAATTCCATATCATTTTCATAGAAAGCTTCGGAACCTTTCCTTGTAAAATATTTTTCGAATGTTATTTTTATTTATAAAATATAGTTAAATGCATTATGTGTGTATGAATATAAAGATAATTATTACCTAATGATGTTTTCGAAATCGTGACTATACAATAAAGAATAATCTTCTCTGTCAATATTGAATTAGTCTTCATAACAAAAAATGACACTGACACTTCTCAATTAAAGATAAATATACTGATTATCATAATTTTAAAAATCAATTATCTTTGATCGAGAATTATTTTATAAAAGAATATTAAACATGTTCCATATTATTATATAACTTATTAACAGAATTCCTCATTGTTGTCAACGCCATATCATCATGATTGTGCCTTTTCGAGAGACAACTGATTTTTATTTCAATGAAGTTTATCAATAGATCTTTGAATTATAATGAATAACTTGTTTATGATTATAATATTGAATTAATAGATGAAATAAGATGATGCACAAAATTGATATGCCTCGTGTTGATTTTTACTCATTAACAGATATCCAAATATATTCTCAAAAATATTTGCACAACGTTAGCTATTATTAATCTTTTCTGATGGAAGTGCACCTGTGATGCACTTTACTCTCTTTATCGAAGCCAGATGACTTTTTCTCACTCTTATCGACGAGATATTAAATAGCGAACTTTAACTCGCTCTTTTTAAATCAATAATCACTTATAAGAAAACAGTAGGTATACTTTTATTTATATTTTCAACAGATGTAAGAAAATAATGAACAAAAGTTTGACCTTTTACAGTGTACTATCCTCAATTTGAACTTTTCCTTTTTGTTTTGAATAACAATTGAGCTAGCAAATTGTACTAGAAACTAATGAGATCCGAGCAGAATCATGTAGATGTTAACATATAAATCATAAGTAGTCAGAATAACATCTGAAATTATAATATAATAGGGGTTAAGAAACTATCTAAATCAATTTTATTCAGCGTTATTTTTAAAACGGTAATTAGAAGTCCCATACTGATTTTCATATTATTAGCTATTAAATACTGAACTAATAATACTTTCCCCTACTTTACTCGAATATATCCCAGAGTTTTTTAGTTATCATTGAATTCAGTGAAAATATATAAAAATCTTTTCCAATTATTTTTTCATCAAATATTCACTTTCAATGCGAAACTTCTATCTATTGATAGTATCAATAATCATATATAAAAAACTTTTCGATCACCATGAAGTTTTACTCATTTCTTCTTATCAATTTAATGATAGGAAAACTTTTTCCTATGGATATAATCGATTGAGAGATAATAATTCGAAAAATACAACGTTTTATGTTAGTTGTCTTACTGAATTTAAATCATATAGGTTTGATTCATTCAAATATGACTGCAATAAGAACTTGCCTTCTAGGCATTCTTATCATTGGCACAGGTAAAAGTAGGAAAAAGATCTCTTTCTATATATATTTATTGTATCTATTTTAGTGTGTGGAGTTCGAGTGAAAGTGAAAAACAAGTGTGGATTTTCATTGTTAGTGCGTATTGGAAATGGCGATAGTGGTCGATGGATAGACGCTGGACAGGAAAGTTGGGGAACAAATGGTCGATCTGATCGAACGTGGGCTGTACAACCTGGCATTTGGGGAGATGATACCTTAGCTGAGATCAATGATGACAATGGACATATCTGGTATGATATTTCTCTAGTTGATGGTTTTACCTATCCAATGGCTCTTGTACCAGTTGGCGGTGCTGGTGGTAATCGTCGAAATCTCTATTGTGTCGGTTGGAATGTTCTCAATGAATGTCCCGATAATCTAAAGGTTTGGGTCAATGGCAGTGTGAGAGCCTGCAAAAATCATTCGGTGAATCCTGGTCATTTCAAAGCTCGGTGTCCTGATGCTTATTCTTGGTGGGGAGATGATCCATCTTCAATGGCTGATACATTCCATCCTGATCACATGGAAGTGACCTTTTGTCCATAAACATTATATTCTATGATTAAATAAAATATAATAAGATCTTCAGTTCTATTCTTTCAGAAATTTTTATTTTATATCGCACGATAATGTCTGAACATATACTCGGATCTATCATAAAAACCTCTCTTGGAATATAAATTAGTTCAGAATATTATTGATACATCCATAAAATTCAAAAGAATAATAAAGTGTTGATTAATCTGAAAAATTAACAAGATTTAAAAATATCTACAATATGAGTAGATCAAATTTTTGCATGCCAATCAATGCTTAAATAACTTAGTTTTCTTTTGATCAGCGATTTGAAGAAGGCAAGTATATAATTTATTGACTTAGAAGTATTCATAATAAGTGATATTTAATGAGAACAGATACCAAAGTTCATCTTGATATTGTTTCTTCATTAGTCAGAAACTGTTAATTAGCTGATGATCAGTCTTATTACTAAAGACAAAAAGGCGTCAGAATTATTGTTTATAAACGTTTACAAAATGAAATAGGCACGTCGTGCTAAAAACCTAGTTTCCGATGAATAATAATCGTTTTGTATTGCCATTATTCAACATGTATCCTTATTCAATTATACTAATAACCTATATTACTTTTTATTTTGAAATCAATTCATAGCTTCATAAGAGTATTTATTTTCAATTACTTTTCTTTTTCATTCTGTATTAGTATATTCATTTCAAGTACGAGAGATATATAGAAAAACAATATATAATTTCTAATCTTGCCTACATATTCTTGATAGGCTTAAATAAAAATTGAAAAAAATAAATGAAAACCAGAGTGCAAATTTGTTTTTCTCTTAATCGAAACGTATATACAAAACAACAACGCAATTGATTTAGATAAGGTATATTTTACTTGATACTCTTCAGAATGTATATCGCTATTAGTTAGATTCTCATATGGGAGACTTGCTTTGAACAATGATAACTACATAAGTTACGTTCTTGGTATACTCAATTATTGTGTCTTTGATACTACACTACTACTTTTCGTTATCTTGTTTGTTTCTTCATAGTGTTTTCATACACTTAAATTTGATATAAAATCTGTTAGTACTCCATTGAGATTGTTCTCAAGTTACAGTACATATATTTTCATCGTATATTACTGAATTTAATGGAGTTTATTAAATCATCTTTTATTACTATTTTCTTCAATTTTTCTAGTTTCAAAGTTACATGTGGAAAATGAAACAACAATCGAAGATGTTAAGTCGAATAATGTTAACAGTAGTGATATTTGCCAGTTGGTTGCAAGCTGCTGAGGCCACACCGACTGAACGCGGTACAGCACCGAATCTCAACGATTTCCAATTACGACCAGCTACTAATCAAGATGAATTGCTGGATCGAGTTACAAAGCTCGATACGAAGTTACCAAAACTTGGCGTTAAGAACATCCTTGAACAGGCTAATCGTCATGGCGAACCAAGCACTTCGCTTGAAACATGTAACTCTGATGCTACTGCTAGACGAAATTTGAGTAGTGTCAGCTATTGTTTCAATGCGTCTGACAGTGGAAAAATTGGTGGTGAAGTAGAATGGATGCCACAAGGTGTTACTACAGTAGGTGATGCTAAAACAGATCAATACTGGAATACCAAACAGCCGATACTTATTAGTTGGTACGATAAAAAACCTAAAACACCAACAAATACAGATGCTGATAAGATAAAAGGTGCTCGAGTGACTTTCTTTGATCCAGAGACAGCCAAATATCAACATGTTTTATTGGTCTATCCATTTATTAATAGTTTTGGTAATGTAAGCTACATGAGTTTACGAACTACGCAGAAAGAAGGATATGACTCATTGCATGCTGGTGGCATTGCTTGGTATGGTAATTATCTTTACGTTGCTGATACTGCACGTGGTTTTCGAGTCTTCGATATGCGCTATATTTTTGATCTGAAAGAAGCAAAAAATGGTGATATTACCGACAAGAATCAAATCGGTTATCATAATGGTAAATATTATGCACACGGTTATCGCTATGTGATGCCAGAAATAGCCGCATGGAGCAGTGTCGTTAATAGAGATTCAACGAAAACTTGTACACTTAATGCTGGTTCACCCACATTTTCTTTCACAGGAGTTGATCGCAGTGGCTTTCCTCATTTGACTACAGGTGAATTCTGTGCAGATAAAATTGCTGCAGGTGATATTAATAAGTCTGGGCGTGTAGCTCGCTGGCCTTTAGATGGTAACACTGGCCAACCGAAGTTAATCAATGGCCTTTGGAAAGCTGATGCAGCCTATCGACTACCAATATCAAATATTCAAGGTGGAGTTTCTTATAATAATACATGGTATTTGAGTAGAAGTCAAGGTGCATCGAATGGTTTTTTGTACGTAACCAAACCTATAACTTCTACAACTGGAATATTAGAAATCGATACTACTCACTATGCTGCAGTTGGTCCAGAAGATTTGTCACATTGGCCCAAGCCCGATGGTAGTCCAGGTGGTTTATGGACCGTATCTGAACATCCTGGTAAACGCCTGCTGTATATGTGCGACATAGACAAGCTCAAGAGTCACGATGAATTTAGTCGTATTTGTGGATTAACTACTAATTTGTCATAAAAATTTAGCTATTAATAAAATAATACACTAAATTTTTCTAAGTTAATATTGTTTTTAATACTTTTGCTTCTATATAACGACGTTAGCTCTCCAAACACTATGTTGCTCTATGCATATGTTGAATGAACACATCAATTTGAAGCTGAATTTAACATTTCTGTTTTAAATTGCTGCTATTGTTGTAGGTGTGGGCGTGAGGTGAATATAAGGTAGATGTGGTTGTTGGTTGTATATTAGCTCTATTGTATCTCAACACCCACACCTGTATTTATTTTCATTGAAAGACTTGAAGTTATATTAAA